TAAAATAGATGATACAAATGTTATAAAGCATATAAAGTCATTTCCAGCCTACAGTAGTCACTACACCAGAGCTCATAATCCAAGACGACAATATTTAAATCCTGACTTAAATATTAAGAAGATGTATGAACTATACGTCACAGAATGTGAAAAGGAAAACGTAGCACCAGTGAAAGAAAAATATTACTATAATGTGTTCTCTACAAAATTTAATTTACATTTTAAACAACCATCAAAGGATACGTGTCAAACTTGTGATGCTTTTCAAATAAAAATTCAATCTTCAGACGATGAGGGAATTAAGATGGCAAAAATTGAAAAGGAAACTCACTTAGAAGAGGCTGAACGGGCTCGCAGTCAAATGGCTGCCGATCGAATGGCAACATCGGAAAAATTGTTCGTATTTTCTTTTGACTTGGAAAAAGCTTTAGCCTTTCCCAAGTTGACCACATCCGTAGCTTATTATAAGCGAAATTTATATGTTTATAATTTTGGATGTCATGAATTCAATAAAAATATAAGCCACATGTTTGTTTGGCCAGAAACTGAAGGATCTCGTGGGTCTCAAGAAATTTCATCTTGTCTAATAAAGTACATAAAGACTTACGCTGCAAACTTCGAAAAAATAATAACATATTCGGATTCGTGTACCGGGCAAAACAGAAATATTAAAACCGTCTTAAGTTTATTGAAACTTGTTCAAAGCACGGAAATCAAAGCTGAATCAATTGACATGAAATTTTTGGTAAGTGGACACAGCTATTTGCCCAATGACTCAGATTTTGCCATTATTGAGTCATGTGCGAAAAAAAATCAAAACATTTTTTCACCAGATGATTGGTACCATATAATCAAAACATGTAAAAAGAAAGCGCCATTTCATCTAATCCAAATGACTCACCAAGATTTTTTGTCAACAAAACCTTTAGAACAGTCTATCATTAACAGAAAAGTAACCGTCACAGGGCTTCCAGTAAATTGGCTTAAAATACGCTGGATAAAGTTAGAAAGGTCCAAACCCTATCTCATACAATTCAAATGTGACTATAATGAAGATACAGAATTTCAAGCCATTAATATAAGAAAATCTTTAGTGGGTAGACCGCAAAGTTTGAAAAATATAGATCAGCCTTTATTATATCCTAAAGGTAGAACTGTGACAAAGGAAAAATGGAGAGACATGATGGACCTGCTAAAATTCATTCCTCCTGTTAAACACGATTACTATAAGAACTTGTCAACAAATCGAAATGACGAATCCTCGCATACAGCTGATGAAGAAGACATTATTTATAATATTGCTGAATCATCCCAAAGAATAATGCCGCTAACATAAAGCTGCTATGAATTAATTACAAAAATTATATTATAACCGAACTGCCAACATTCATTTTTATGGAAAAGCTGTGATAAAAATGTATAATAACTAACTTTTTCTGTAATAAAAAACTTAAAAATGTAAAGACTAAATTTAACTTTATTACTTTTTTCAGTTGCCAAATCGATTAACTCCACCAGTCACATAAAAACTGTAACATTACTGACGATTGTTTGTTGGCTATTCTTTCTTATTAATTTTATATACCGTTAGATGAAAGCTATATCTGCAATTATGCATTCTACATTATATATTTGAATTCATATTATCAGAGGAATTTTGAAAAACAATATACATTACATCATCGCGTTTCTCAACTTTTCGTTTTATGGAGTTAATCGATGTGTGCACTGAGCGGCTCATATACAGAATTACAAAATAAGCAGAAAATATTTATTTTCATTCATTATTGTAGCAGAAAATTTTGGTCGGAAATAGGTTACGTCAAAGACCGGTCTGTACCAATTTTCAAACATTTTACAAGTGGTGTTGTTAGACCTGATTAAAGAACTCAAGTAATTTTTTAATTATTGAATTTTGAGTACATTTGATTTGAATTCACAACTGAGTATAAAAAGTACTAACGTAAATATATTTTCCTTAGAAAATAACAATGGTGAAAGCAAAGAAAAAAGAACAGAGGCGTGTGAAATACACGGAAACCGAGTTAAGAAAAGCAATATGTAAAATAAAATCTGGAGTACCCATACGTAAGGTCAGCCGTGAATTCGGTATTCCTAAAACCACATTGTTATATGAGAAAAGGGAGCCGATACCATCGATAAAACGAAGTGGACCGCCCTCAATTTTAACAAATGACGAAGAAAATCAATTAGTTCAGTGGGTACTTTATATGCATAAAGCTGGTTACCCAATTACAAACACTCAAATTATTAGTAGCGTTGCTATGTTAGTTCAAGAATTAAAACGGGATAATTCCTTCACGAATGGTCGACCAATGGTATTAGCGGTTATAAAATCTTTGCGTAAATTTCGGGTATACTTGGAATACGGTTTAAAATTGTTACGGACTGTCGCGCACTCACAATGACTATGAACAAATCGAATTTATGTGTAAGAGTGGCTAGATGGGCGCTTCTCGAAGAATTCCAATATGAAATCGAGTATCGTTCATGTAAGAATATGACTCACGTGGATGCCTTGAGTCGTAACCCTTTACCTGCAGTGTTAATTGTAAACGAAGGCGAAGAAGGAATTGTATTTAAGTTAAAGAAAACACAATGCGCGGACAATAGCGTGCGAGCGATTATCGGGAGAGTTCGAAAAGACGAGGCGTCTCGGTTTGAAATAAGAAATGATTTGTTGTATAAAGAGGTGGCGTGTTAGTGGTAGTGCCTAGAGCGTTGCAGAAAAAAATAGTGAGAAAGGCGCACGAACAGGGCCACTTCGCGGTAAATAAGACAGAAAAATTAGTGAAAAGAGATTATTGGTTCGAGGGAATGAGGAATACTGTCGAGAAAGTAATTCGTAACTGCATCGATTGCATTCTCGCGGATAGAAAATGGAGAAAGCAGGAAGGGTGGTTATATTCCATAGACAAGGGTGAGGTTTCCTGACACATGTATCACGTGGATCATCTTGGCCCTTTGCCCTCGACAAAGAAAAAATACAAATTTATTTTCGTAGTTGTAGACGGTTTTTCGAAATTCGTTTGGCTTTATGCAACTAGATCGACAGATACCGCCGAAATTTCAGGTCATTTACGTAAACAGGCATTGATATTCGGAAACCCGTGTAAAATAATATCGGATAGGGGAACAGCCTTTACGTCACACACATTCGAGGAGTATTTTCGCGAGGAAAACATAAAACACATTAAAATCACCACAGGGATACCGAGGAGAAACGAACAAGTAGAGAGAGTAAATCGTACTCTAATACCATTATTATCTAAGATGAGTGCCCCTAAGCCCGAAGAATGGCACCGCTATTTAGAGTTAGTTCAGAAATACTTGAACGCCGCGCCAAGTAGGAGCATCGGCACAACGCCCTTTACTCTCTTATTCGGTGTGTCGATGAGAATAAAAGAAGATCAGTCAATAAGGGCGATTATTGAAGAAGAGTGGAAGAGCATGTTCCAGGAAGACCGGAAAGAATTGAGGAGGCGCGCGAAGGAGGCTATTCTCAAGCTCCAAATGGAGAACCGAAAGAGTTTCAACAAGAAGAAAACCAAAGCTAAACGATACGAGGCGGGAGAGCTGGTCGCGATCCGTAGGACACAATTTGGCCCGGGATTAAAATTATATCCTAAATACTTAGGACCTTATGAAGTGGTAAGGGCCTTAAGAAACGATCGCTACATAACTTCTACGGCCGCAGAACTCCATGAAACCGTGGAGTAACGACGACGACGATGACTCCACCGACGACGGTGAAGACAGCCGGAACATCTGAGGACAGATGTTATTTATCAGGATGGCCGAGTGTAGTGTGAGTTGCGACGGGTGTGAGTATGAGTGTGCGTGTGCGTGCGTGTGCTCGTGGAGCAGTTAATTTGAAATCGCGCGATGCCGAGTAGAAACAAAAGAAGTAAACACTGTCATCACACGACAGCCGGCGAAGACCGGAATGTGTGAGTGTGTATGTGAGGTCAACGAGCACCACCTGGTTTTAAAATCTATCTCTGAACTAATTAAAAAGAAAAATGGTAGTACAAAACTTTGCGTGGATTATAGAAAATTGAATCAGAAGGTTGTCGAGGATCAATATCCTCTCCCATTGATCGACGATCAAATAGACGCATTGCAAGGTGCTAGTATTTTTAGCACATTAGATTTGAAAAATGAATTCTTTCATGAGCCTGTAGAACCGGAGAGCAGGAAATATACAGCATTCATATACGCCATTTGGATTATGCAATTCACTAGCACTTTTTCAAAAATTTATAAATGCCATATTTAGGGACTTAATTAATGGGCAAATTGTTTTAACTTACATGGATGATTTAGTGACACCCTCCGTGAATCGCGAAATTGGCTTGCAATATCTTAAAAGGATGTTGGACGTTACGGAACAGTTTGGTTTAAACATTAATTGGTAGAAGTGTAGCTTTTTACAAACTAGGATAGAATTTTTAGGGCATGTAGTCGAGAAAGGACGTATACGTCCATTGGAACGAAAGACCGAAGCAGTGGACTATCAAGACTAAACTTTTTTTTATTCGTAAAGCCTACTTTCCTCTAAGTATTCTTCCAATATATACGTTGTTTTGCAAATATATAGCAAACGTTCGTTTTTGTGTTTTGGTTTAATTTTGGCTGCATTTATTTTTTTGTTTATTCATTTAGAATAGATACTGTAAATAGTCAGTGCATAAGTGTAAATAAACTTTTATTTTAGTTACAAAATGTTGAACATTTATTTTCCACGTAAGTATATCATCTCATTTTTAAATATGTTCCAGTGCAAATTGCATTCCGATATCCTTTATGGTTCAAAACTTATACCAAAATGTCACTGAATTCTTCAAAGCGTACCACTGTGCAGCATGAGTAGAGCGAATTGTAAGCTATATAATTGTCTTAAAATAGTATCTTCCTTGTGTAGAACGCGTTACTAAGGTTAAAAACTCTGTTAAAAAAACACCTTTAAACACACTTACCTTTTGCAACTCCTCGCCGCTTCGTCATCATCTGCTGGCGCACCAGCACCCGAATCCTATAAGCGAAAACAATTACAATTAATAAAAACCTACCACTATAGTGAAATTACCTAGACATACTGAAAAAAGTAAATCCTTTCTGGCTCCCAAAAGAACCGGTCAGACTCGTCATTCAAAATTAAGTGTTTAATATATCCGCGAAATGGTTGATATCTTACTTTACACACTCTATATTATGTATTTATTCAATAGTGATGTTTATCACTGAAAAACTAAATATTTTGTTATTGCGTTGTAACGAGTAAGTCGTTACGACGTTACTGCCTGACTTCAGCGAGGTAACCCTAGGCGACTACCGCCGCGGCCTATTAGTATCGCGACGCGAGACACAATCGAGGCAGATCTCGACTCCCTACGGACCGGCAAACACCGACCGAAATCGAGCTCTCTGCCTTTTTGCACCTCCACGTCTCCAAGGTACTCGTGGGGTCGGGCGCTGCCCGGCCCCACGTAGGGAGCCTTTAACCGCTGGCCCCTCGGTAGTGTTGGGTCACCTCCACTGACCGGGCCATCCTGACCCCTCCACCCCCATAGGCAATCACCTAAGGGGGCGGGGACACCCAGGGTCCTCCATCCGACATACAGGGCGGTCGCTGGCCGCTCTCGGTCGCGGCTACTCCCCACTCCTTGCACCGTCGACCAGACGGAACGACCGTACTGACGTGGACACACCGCCGCACTGCCGACCGATCGTACTCAAATCGCAGTACCACCGACCAGCGTGCCGACGAGTACATACCGCCGCACCGCCGACCGATCGTAATGACACTCACACACAGCCGACCAGCCGTGCTAACACACACACCGCCGCACCGCCGTACACCGGTACCGCCTAGTGCACACCCACGTACAACACCTAGGTATAAGGCTAACCGTAAGTTTAGATAATAAGGAACCCTACCATTGAACAGCCCCGTAGAGGTCAATAAACCAGCTTCTTACCCAGACAACTGACTACGCTCATTGGCTCGACCCCTGGCAGCCGACTGAGCTGGCCTCCTTCCACCGCCCACCAGCGACATTCGTCGTAGCGTAGTATCGGTAAGTAGGGAACGTGTAGGGTAGAAACATATTTCGTCTTATACTTATTAGTACATTCTTTGTACTGAAGAAATACTATTTATTTTTTTTAATGGAAACAATAGACACAAACACATGGTGCTGGGGAACAAGCTTTGCGTATTCTGCCAGATCAATTGGTTCGGCACCTCCACAAATATGTAACTACTTAAAATAAATGTTTTTGTAGAGTCATTCCACGCGAAGTCGGAACGAATTAGCTCGAGGAACGAGTCCGAGGAAGGTGAGACGTGGTGAACCACTGCTGGTGAACGAGGTCCAGATAACGATGACTGCTGCTCTGGCGAAGGTGGAGGCGACGCGTCAAACGCGCGGTGAAGCGAGGAATGGTGGCGCGCCTGTCAGGTGGTGCATCGTTTCGTGGAAGGACAGGTCTTGCGGTAATGTTTTCCCAACCAGTTAAAGCATAAGAAATGTTTTAATATAATTTCTTTACACTGTTCCGGCGATTTTGCGCGATACTGCAGACATGAACCGATGTAAGACTAGGCACTGCACAGTGGCATGACAATAACGAGACAACAGTCTAATGTGCATATACTTTCGCGACGCGAGATTTCATCAACGATTTTTTTGTGGTCGACAGTGACAATTCATCTACACGTTCTAATGCGCGAATCTGACGGCGAAGAAACGCATCAAGTACAGAAAACTTCGGAGGCGCCGGGTCATCGCCAAGTTGCAGCTCCCACATCTTTAACGGGTCAGAGTCAAGTTTTCGTGTCACCCAGTATACAGAGTGGGGCAATAACTATTACCACCTCAGATATCTTCAAAACTGTGAGGTTCGTAGAAATATTTGTTTAACCAGAATTGCACAGTACGAAGAGAGTCATGCGATGGCGCTAATAGTTTTATTGCAGGTAGGGGTACTTTGGATATTTCAAGGTTACCTCCATTTTTTCAAATGGATCGGTATGTTTTTGTTTCCGTAAACTGATATAGGATTTTTTTGGAAAATTTGAATGGCGACATCTACGCTAATTTTATTAAGGACACCTAGGGTCCTTTGCTAGAAGAATTGCCTTTATTTGCACGACAAACCATGTGGTATCAACATGATGGATGCCCAGCACATTAATCATTGATTGCGCAAAGAGAACTCGATGAAAAATTTCAAAATCGTTGGATTGGAGGCGGTAGTCCAATATCGTGGCCAGCTCGTTCATCGGACTTGACACCTCTAGATTTCTTTCTATGGGTAACATTGAAAGATAAAGTGTACAAAGAAGTACCAATTACACCTCAAGACATGCAACAGCGAATTATTGCAGCCTGTACGTCAATAAATTCTGACGTTATAAGACTTGTACGTTAATCAGACAAGCAGTCACAAAAAGAATCCAGTGTTGCATCAGATCAAGTCAACAGATGATCTTATGTAATAGGTCGTTGAACTCGTTTTAAGCTCCTCTATCATTCTTCGGAAACAAAAATATTCCGATCCATTTGAAAAAATGCAGGTAACCTTGAAATATCCAAAGTACCTCCAGCTGCAACAAAAAACTATTAGCGCCATTGGATGGCTCCTTCATACTGTGCAATTTTGGTTAAACAAATATTTCTGTGAACCTTATAATTTCGCAGATACCTGAGGTGGTAATAGTTATTGCCCTTCACCGGAATAATGAACAGGTCCCAATGTTCAATCTGGCACTCTAAACCTTTAATCACGCCAAGGCACTCTTCCACGACACCGTATAGCTGTTTCAGCTCGCTAGCGGATTCGGTTGACAGTTTTTTCAACGGAAACAACGTGTCGAGCTGAGTGTCAATAACGATGCGTTGGTTTTCGTAAGATCGGTAATGACCTTCCACGTGCGTTCGAAACTGTCGTTGGCAACGGCAAACTGGTTGATGAATTGTAATGCCTCATCAGTCACACTCATCATCAGATAATGGAACTTCTCTACGATCGAGATGGAGACCTTGGACATCACCATTGACGTGGAAAAGTCGTGAAACGCAACCCATTTGGTCTTGAGCCGCGGTAACGCAAAAGGATAATTTACCTGCGACGTTAGTTGTTTATCGGTTTCCGATGGTGTGGACGAGGTACTTGAGACGCGTTTGAGAGCCTCGCAGAAAATGACTTGACTCTCGATGCTGCCTCTTCACCCTGCGTTCGCAGGCCGTCTTGAAAGTATGAGTTTTTGGTGATTTCGGAACGATGTTCGTAGAGAGCCACATGATTTGTCTCGAATTTGTCCCAGTTACGAGAAAGAGCAGGCAAGCGGAGCCGTTCTTCTTGAGATTGACCACGGTGTTACAAATCCATTGGTACAGCTCATGCTGACGACCAATGAGATTTACGGCTTGAAACATCGTGAAGCAGTGAGTTTTTTACTGTGTGAATCCAGCGTGGAATTGAAAATTCTGATACATGGGAAAGTTGGCATTGATTTGAGCTGAGACTTGATCGTCCCATTTGAGTTTTTCCAGCCAGAGTTGTTGGAGCAATACCTTTGCTCGCACTATGAATGGTGACAAGAATCTGAGTGGGTCGTAGAGCTGTGCTGTTTCTGACAAGATGATTCTCTTTGTGAACTTGGTACTTGAGTATGGTGGCGTATAAGCGAGTTTGAACGTATCTGAATGAGGTATCCATGACAGGCCTAAGAGTTTTGTGCTGTTATCTTCGAATAATGCCTCCGTAAGTGGAGACTGTTGAGCGATGCCTTGAATAAATTGTTTGCTATTACTGTGCCATTTCGCTAATGGAAACCCGCCCGCCACGCAGAGCTGTGTTACTTGTCTTGATATGTCGATGAGCTCGATGATCTGATCAGAATCTTCCAAAATGTCATCGACATATCTACCCTTGGTGAGCGGTTCAATGGCGAGTGGGAAGTGATGACCTTCATCTTTGACTAATTGTAGTACTGTTCTAATTGCCAGAAACGGGTCCCATACATCACTGTAGTCATTGATATGGAACCTCGTTGAGCGGATCATCAACCCACATGATTCTTTGCAGATCCCAGTCGTCTCGATTCACGTTGATTTGACGATACATCTTTGTGATGCCTGTGGTGAATATGTACTTGTGTTATCGAATCCACAGCAATACATCAAGGATGTCTCGTTGATTTTTCGCACGTAAGTATTGGATGTCGTTGATCGAAATCCCTGATGTTGTTAGGTTAGATCCGTTGAACACGACTCTTAACTTTGTAGTGATTCGATCTTGTCTGAGTACTCCATGATGAGGAAAGTAGTATGGAGATTGAGCTTGAGCTCGCACCGGTGACCGGTCTCCAGAGACCCTCAACCCTCCTGATGCTGAAGCATCATGTGCCAAGGTCATCTCGTTCAACCGATCGTCAGTGACAAGCTCAAGTTGTGGAAGTGTGATGATCTTGTATATATGGGACACGTCTCATGTGACCCATTTCTTCATACTCCTTCATGAGTGAGTTGTACAATAGTCTGTATGAGTCGTCAGTACTGAGTCGTTTCATGAGTCGTCGTAGACATCGTCGTACTGTGAGCTCCGAATCTTCTAAGATAGTCAGTGAAGACTAGAGTGGAATTCTTACTATGTATCTTCCACATTCGTTTCGTGAATGTGTTGATTTAAAATGATCTTCGCATGCTTGCTCTTCTGGGGTCAGTTGTGGCTCAGTAGATGCATGTATTTCTTCCTGAACCCAGAACTTGGTGAGTATATCTTGTAGCTCTTGGTGCGCTGATTCGATTGTAGTGTGATAAGAGTGGTACAACGATGAGTGATTTTCTATGATTGGACCAAGAACTACCCAACCAAAGATTGTAAGTTGAGCCATAGGTGATGAGCTATCATGCTTTATCATATCTAGTCTAATGATCTGTGCATATGAATCTGTCCCGATGATGATATCAATGGGCCTTGGAATGAGGAAATTAGGATCGGCCAGTTGCAATGATGATAGATGTGGCCATTCTTGGTGTCCCACAGTGAATGATGGCAATGTATTCGTCAATTTGTTGAGAATGTGAGCATTGATGATAGCGTATTGTGACGAAGAATTTGATTTGAGCTAAAGTGTGGTGACACCCCTTGTTTGAGTAGACTGTGATCCTCCTATTCCAATGATTGCTATTAATGAGTGCTGTCGAGTAAATGCACAAGTATTGACAAGGTGATTGGAGACGAATGTGAGCTCTGATCCTGGGTCTATGAGTAGTCTGACTGCGTGAGTGGTCAGTGATGTGATGAGTCTTGCTTGAGCTATTGCAAGTAGGACTGTTCTAGTATGTGGTGATCTGTTCTGTCGAAATGACACTTGATCTGATCATGTTTGAGCGAGGGCAGTGTTGGCTTCCCGAGATGATTCGTTCTTGCTTGTTGTTGATGTGGAGGGCTGTGCTTGAGTTATTCTGATGGATGGTAGGTGAATCATGAACAGCTGAGTGACCGCTGTCACTTGGGTCACCGTCGCGTGTAAAGATGAGGCGAAGCACCGTCAAAGGTGACTGCCGAAATAAGAACTGACTGCTATGATGATGAAAATATGCTATCCCATTTAAAAAAACATCAATGACTTCGACACTTCGAAAAAAATGACCCTGAGAAAATTTTGTTCAAAATGAAATATGATGTAGTCCACGTGAAATTAGGTGGAATTTAAATCATAATGTTTCTGTTCACGAATTTGTTTACACAATCATGTTTGACTAAGAACACACTTTTTTGCGAATTTCAACTTGTTATAACATGTTAATAACTTTGAAGCCAGTAAAATGGTGACATAAACTCGTCATTATTTAACACAAATTACAACATATTACAGTTTCATAAAAATCGACAGTCATACTGCCAGAAAGTGATAAATTGGGCGTGGAATGGCCCGTGTGAACAGATTTTAGTTTACCTAGGCGCTTACCTACTTCACGGGATGCGTAGCGCCTCGGTATTTTTTTGTGAAGAGACTGCTAAGCGAAAAGTCGTGCCCGAAACGGTCCGTGCCGGATACGCTACGCGACGGTCTGTGCTGTATAGTGTGAACCAACCTTACGACGTTGTGGGTCCCGAGTTCGAATTCGCTGTGAGTTGAAGAAAACTAGTTTTTCACTTTAAAAAGGTCTTTGCAGTGCAAATAATTTTTTTTATCTTTCATTAATTATTTTTCACAAAAATTATTTTCTGGTAAATATGTACAATATTGTAGTTTTTTTAATACAAATTTGGATTTGACGATAAAAATATACGTCGCAGGGCTGCACCAACGGGGTTACACTTGGGCGGTATTACAGCAAGCTTGCATGTGTTGTTATGTGAGTAAGTCCTTCAAACGATTTTCGTCTTTGGTTGTTAGTACGCTTTGATTCACCGTGCGAGTAACATTAAAAAACAGTGTTTCGAATTGCTGAAATGGATTGTGATCCGGTACCTTCTAATGTTACTCGCACAATCAATCAATGCGTACTGACAACCAGACAAAAGTGGTTTCAAGGACTTACTCACAGAACAACATATACAATCTTATAGTAATACCGCCCAAATGTACCCCGTTGGTGCAGCCCTGCGACGTACATTTTGATCGCCAAATCAAAATTTTTATTAAAAGACTACAACATTGTACACATTTATTAGCAAATAATATTTGTGAAAAAAATTAATGTATCTTAGAAATATTAATCCGAGTTTGATTTTTAAAAGAACTGCGCTCTTTCGAATTTCTGGAGTAAGTGCGGTGCGATCAATCACAATCCACATACCAAAAACCATCGCTGCTGCCTTCCCCACTCCGTAATCAGATCCTGTAGGAACAATGTCCTTATTCTTAAGGCAACGCAACGTCGTGCTGCTTGCCATCTCTAACCTTCACTCGTAACAACCCTCTACGTCGTCGATAGCCGAAGGACCTAGCATGGTCTTACGCCACTATGCGACGCCAACGTTTAGTCTCAAGCAGCCTCTTCCAAGACCACACGCATTCTAGAAACCCTAGTTCATAAATTCTCCAACGATCAATGTGCGACAGGACATCCGCCTTCGACTCCACTTAAAACTCGTTGACGCTAACATGTAAGATAAAACAAAATTATTTGCACTGCACAGATCTTTGTAAAGTGAAAACAAAGTTTTCTTCACTCAACATGCGAATTCAAGAATTCGGGACCCACAGCGTCGTATTTGGATACTCTACAGACTCACCCACGATTGCTCCGTTATGACATGCTTTACGTACATTAATGACTAGATGCATACAAAACTTTAAACCAAAATATCTCGATAACAAGGACCCATTCTACGGAATCCAATAAGGGTTTTTGTAACAACCACAACTTGTATAAAGTGTCATTTCAAAAGCGATTAGCCGACCCGTAAGATCCCCTTGTTAGTGTTATTATTGGTTTACAATTAATTGGTGAATTAGTAATCTATTAATTACTATACGGTTTTTTTACTTTGAAAATGATTCTCCCTAAGGAGGCCGTCACTCAAATTAAAACTCAGACTTCCACAACTATGACATCCAGAAGCCGTTCTACGTCAAGGAAACGTACTAGAAAAGATACGTCAAACATGCACATGGACATGGATTGCTCAGACTCCCTAAACGATGCACCAGATCATGCACTTAAATCTTTAAACTCTCAATCCTCTGTCAATACCGTATCAATAATTAATTCAAATATTCCAACAACTAACATATTCATTCCGGGTTGGTAATATTACATCAGCTTCTGACTCTACCCTCACTCAAGTCAATATCAGACACCTCCCTCCTCTCTACGCTGATATTCCCTTCCAAGCACATCTGTCTAAGATAAGAGCACAGACGAGGCATAAGAATAGACCTAACATGCAATGTAATTTTCTGTACCATGCTTCGAGGGCGTCAGAAGCCCCCGTACCATTTCAGTGTCAATACCCGACTTTACCGATTCAGTGTGAAATTATGTCACCACGATCTTGTGGCCAGAAGTAAAACTCAATAACTTATATACATATATTCCTACCACATAGTGTGAAAAATATGTGTCAATGACTTCAGCGCGAGAAGGTTAGCAGAGCTACAGAGGTTAGTAGAAAGTGATAATTTGTTTAACCGTTTGTTTTGTCGGCTTGTTGTTATTATCAGTAGTGCATTCTTGTACATATTGTCTTTCTTATGTGTTATACATAGCTTTTTTGCGTTTTCCAATTTTTATATTGAATATTGTCAGAATTCATAGAGCATGGAACGTCAGACCAGTAAAACACATTTTAAGAAATGTTCATATCATAATTGCGGT